TACGGTGCTAGCGCAAGGGTCACAGTTCGAGCCTCGGCCCATCCTGCCCTCACGGAACATTGCTCATGGGGTAGACCGCCTTATTCCCTGGTATCAAATCGATACTCGGGGGGATCCGTGCGCGGGCGCTCAATCAGTAGTGTCAGGATATTTGTAGTGTCAGGATATTTGTCACTACCGAGCGAAAAACGAACGTGAAAGAAAGGAAAAATCGAGGAGACAAAAAAAAAGGGGAAAGAAACACCAGAAGAAAAAAGAAGAAAAAGAAAGGAAAAGGCGTAAATGAAAGAAAACAGGGAAGGGTAGGAGGAAAAAAGTTTTTTGGCCAAGGGGGGTCTGGTCTTGTTTTTCCTCATCTCGGTCTCCCTTGGGTTGCTCAACTGGTTTCCCTTGTTACATTCCTGGACCTGTATGCGTGTGTGTGTGTGTGTGTGTGTGTGTGTGTGTGCGTGTGTGCACACGAGAGGGATGCAGACCTCACGCAACCAGCCAACCAATCAATCAATCAATCAATCAATCAATCAATCAATCTCATGCATTGATTTTTTTTTTCCTTTTTTTTTATTTTTTTATTTTAGGATGAGTCAATGAAACAACCAATCAATCAATCAAGCAATCAATCAAGCAATCAATCAAACGATCAACCAACCAATCAATCAATTAATCAATCAATCAATCAATCAATCAATCAATCAATCAATCAATCAATCATTTAATCAATCAATCAATCAATTAACCAAGTAATCAATCAATGAGTCTTTTTTTTTTTTTTCAATACACCCGGAGTCCTTGACTCAAAAAAAAAATGTTTCTCCTTTTTTTTTTTTTTTTTGAATGGCGGGGCACCCCCCGACACCCGACCACCGCCCAGCACATCCCCCTCTCAACACCCTCTCGAAACGCCACATACAGAGGGCCGAAAGTCTGTACATACGGGCCGTACAGGTGACGAGGGCCCGTACATACGGTCTTACGGGAGTACGGATTGGCCATCCCGGAAGGAGGTGACTATGCAGATGACGACGACAATTCCTTCTACGTACTCGATCGTTTTTGTTTCTGTCTCCTGCTTTGTTCCGACATCAGTGGATTGGTGACTAGCTTGGTGCGTTCCAGCCAGATAACGCCGATGAAGGATTGAGATCAATTCCAATCCTCGCAGAAGGGATTTCGCCTTGAAGAATTGATCTCCTTCGTAGGAGAAACCAAGCTTGGTTGTGGATAGATCCTTGTTATGTCCATTTCTTCCCCGTCCATCTCCTTTCCATTTTGTGATTATGGACTCCACAATTGTGCATTTCCTGCTTCAAAATGAGTTTCAGTTCCTCTACCCGGTTCAGATTGAATTCCAGCGAAATGGCCACGTTCAGATTGAATTCCAGCGAAATGGCCACGTTCAGATTCCAACTGTTTCCATCATCCTGGGTTGTGTACTATATTTTCGTTATGCTCTTGGATTCCGACGCGATTTTCAACGTTCGTCCTTGACGGGTTATGGTGATGACATGCATTAGTTAATTCAATTCATCGGTTCGTCTTCTTTTTTACAATTTCCAGAATTATCCCTGCAATTGGTGCGAATGTTTTTTAACGCTGGGAGAATGTGTGCTTTAGCGAGCGCGCTTAGAACTCTTTCTAGGCTTTTCGATTTCCGAAGAACATGGGCGTCAGTCAGAATATGTTGTAGCGAGTCATTTCTGAATATTTGTGAATTTTTGAGACCTCCTTGCAAGCCCTAGGAAATTTTATTGATCGGCATAGGAATTCGCTTAGCTAGCATGCTAGGAATTTCTTTTTAAACTTTTCAATTTTAATTTGCATTTAGGAAGTAGGCATTTTGTGTAACTGTTTTGGTGTCTGTCACGATTTGCACATAAGCATTCCCCCGCGCTGTGCTCTTGTATGCAGTCTTTCCCTGCTTTTCTCACTCCTTTTCTTTCTCTCAATCATGGACAAGCTCTAATTATCTACTTCTCCCTTTCCTCACACCTTTCTTCCTTCTTTCTTGAATCTCCGCCTTCCTGCACTCTCCCTTTCGTAACCTTCTTTCACCTGTTTCCCACCTTTGTGGATACGAGGGAAAGCCCTAGCCCTGTCGAAGCCCTGTCTATCCCGAGCACTCGTAGAAGTCAGACGGCAGCGTGTAAGGAAACTTCTGGCCCTTCACTTATGTGCCCTGACGATGGGCCTGATCGGATAGACATTGCTTTGCTAAGTGTCGTTCCCTCTTCTTCCTATGGCCCATTCTGTCTCTCGTCATCATGCCTTCTCAGCTTCCTTCGCTACCATAAATCCCACAAGCAGGCCCTTTTTACTCTCTGGATTTGCATCTGCCAACTCTACTGGAGTAGTGGCTAGAGTGCTGTGGTGATCAGTGAGTCCGAAAGTCCTGATGAGTTAGATGCAAGTGTGCGAGATTAAGCGTTGTCCGCTTCCTTCACAACTATAAATTTAGCAAGCCGACCCCTTTTGGTCTCTCGACTTGCATCTGCCAACTCTGCTGGAGTAGTGGCTAGAGTGCTGTGGTGATCAGCGAGTCGGCAAGTCCTGACGAGTTAGCCGCAACTTTGCGATATTGTGTGCTGCCAACTCTGTTGTAGTGGCTAGAGTGCTGTGGTGATCAGCGAGTCGGAAAGTCCTGGCGAGTTAGCTGCAACCTTGCGATATTGTGGACTGGATCGCTGTGGCAGACTGTAGGATAGAGTGCTGTGGTGATCACCGAGTCGGAAAGTCCTGGCGAGTTAGCTGCAACCTTGCCATATTGTGGACTGGATCGCTGTGGCAGACTGTAGGACCTGGGCGGATTTGCGTTGTAGTTGGGTGGACGGGGTGGCGATTGCTTGGGTTAGCGCTGGGTACGTGAAGGCGGGGATCGTCAGAGCTGGTTCATGATGGGTTGGTTGGCCTGGGGCCATGGTTCAAGAGAACAAGGTCCTGCTCCTTTCCGCTTTCAGCTTATTTTGAGTAAAGTTGCAGAGGGAGATGCCAATTCTTCTCTCTTACGGATGTGTACTCTCTTTCTCTCCCTCTTGTATTTTGGGGGACGTATCTAAGGTCAACCCCTGCCCAAGTCTTTCCAAAATGTCCTGGAGCAGGGAATGTTATAATATTGTACAACACATTATCTGAAACATAACCTGCGGACATCACAACTGAAGACGAAGAATGAGACACACAGGCGAGGAGAAGAAGAAGAAGAAGAAGAAGAAGAAGAAGAAGAAGAAGAGGAAGAAGACAAGCTTGCCCATTATCCCTGAAACTCCCTGCCCTCTTACTAAAAATATTCGTGAAAATGATACATACATAAAAAAGCACTCGATGTCTGCCATACCTTTTTCACTGTGAGTGCAGAAAGAGCACAGTGGTTCCCATGTCCAGTCTCTCTCTCCCTGGACGTGCAGTGCTACTGGATATGGGGGATCCTCTGTGCCCAGAACTGGACAACGTGCTTCTATGATGCCTCGATACTCCTCTACTGCCATGTCTCACCCTGCGGATAAGGTACATCTCTAACAGGTACTCCACAGGGTTGTCCATGATGCATCCGCGACAAAGGCAGTCGTAGTCCACCATTTTTTTTATTTTATTTATTTTTATTTTTTTTATTTTAAGCAGTCCCACCAGTGCTAGAGATGCTGTTGAGGGCAGACATCGCTAGCACCTGGGGAGGGGCTCCATCAGTTGGTGGGGAGCATCACCTGCTGGAAAACGGGTCCAGCGTCCCTGATACAGTATAATACAGTATGATCCAGAGAAAGATACTTGAATTATGACTAGAAGGTGCCTGCCAGCATTGATACTCTGGAGACCAGAGGATTGACAGGGCAGGTGTGAGTATGAAGGTAGATATGACCTTGGGGCTCAGGGAGTAAACCTCTTCGCCCTGTACAGGGCGCCGGATACCTACTGTTGCAGGACTAGTTCCTCCCTCTCCCCAACTGCCTTACACCCTAGAGCTCTTTGCCTCCTCTTATGTGCGTAACAAAGTCCCTCTGGTCCATTCTGTGTCCCTTGGGAATCGGAGGGGACACCATATGTCAAGTTCAAGGGGTGTCTTGTTGTTAGATCTCCTCCTTTTTCCTTATTCCTGCCAACGTGGGCTCAGTTACTCCCCCTCTTCTCCGCCCTACTCCTCCATCGTCATGGAAGTTGCCCTTCATGGCCCTCTTGCATCTCCTCATCACCCTCACGTTCTCCCAACCTCTCCCACTGGGTGAAGCCGCAACACGACAGCCGGCAGTGCCGAGTGAATGGCCGGCCCACAACTCACCTCCAAACGATATACTTCGGCAACTCACCTCCAAACGATATACTTCGGCTCTCCATCTACTCGAGCCTCACCCTGGTCCTGCTCGGACCAGCGAGGGCGCTTCCTAGGGGTGCCACTCCCTCTTTAAGGTTGGGGCATCATTGCAGACTTCTACTTCCAGCACTTCCTCTGAAATGCCGTACCGCTAACGTGTGAGCATCATTGCAGACCGCAAACTACTTCGTGGTTCTCACCTGACTGGCCTTGTCTACCAATTACCCCAATGCACAGATACTCTAGTCTCTAAATGGTTCTCACCTGAGCGGGTTAACAAGTATTGTACATAGTAGTCCTGGTACATTAGATCCAGCTTCAACTGTCTCAACTTGAGATGTGAGAAAAACTGCTCGCTTTTGTTTGAGACCATCCATCCGAGGAGACGTTATCTGAAGAAATTCTACAGGTGAGTGTCGACCGAAGGGCGACAAAGGTTCATACGGCGGACGTATTTTAAGCTACATACTCACAATAGCAGTTTTTAAGATCATGGGGCAATGACGGCCGAATCTAGATGGGTCTGACAGCAAATACGTGCAGACATGTAAACCGAAATGGGATAATTTGTAGAAAGAATGGGTCTCGCTCCACTACTATACACTATACAAAATTGTATAGTTCGGAGTCGCTCCACTAACTATACACTATACACGTGAAAACTCCGTTGTATAGTTGTCAGAAATCGGCCGTGGATAGCAGTCTACATTTGTGTATAGTTCCCAGCCTGCAAAAGTCGTTACTCGGATACTCCTCGAAGGGTGGTCGAAGGAGGCCGCCATTCGAACACAAAATCGGATAGTCCGCCTGGAGTCTGGGCCGACAAATTGCTGTCTTGTAGTGCTCTTACGGTGTTTTGTAGTGAACTCAGGAATTGGAGAGCTGTATAGCGGATAGTAAGTGGAGCGACGGCGCAGACTATACACGAGATCTCCGTTTTTTGGCACTCTGACAGCTATACACGAACTCTCCGAAATTCTGCTGTGAGTATGTTCTTACGCAGGCTCACAATCTTAAATCGCCGTTTCAGTTGAGTGAGATAAGAAAAGTCGCTGTCATAAGTACTCTGAGGTGCAGGTTCCTGCTCGCCCTCCAACCCCTTGAGAATTTTATTTACCTCAGCTTTTTGCGCTTTAGACATGTTCTGAAAGTGATTCTCTAGAAATAGAACCTTCCTTCGCGACGTGAAAGTCGCATCTAATAACTTGTCCTCTTCCCAATCCGGATCAGGCTCGCTGGTAACCGCCCCAGCAAGAGCGTCATCCTTGCCGAGCACTGTGCGGCACTCCACCTTGCTTCCGACGTCCACGTGATTTGCTGTGGCTTCCACCTTTACACAAAGAATGCCGTCGCTGTTTACTTCGAGTGCAACCTCGGAGACCGTTCTTCCGTTAGCTAGCGACGGCCGGAAGCCCTTTTGGTGAAGCACACCCAAGTACCGGTTATTGCGGCAAAGAACACGTTCGCCTTCGTAGATTTTGGACTCCGCCTCCGTTTGGAAGTCTGTAGGTAAACGGTATCGTTTAGATCCTTTCGCCGGAATACGAGAACCTTCCGGTATGATGACAGACATTGCATCCACCTCCGTTTTTACACCAATGCTTAACGCAGTGATGTCCTCGAGGGCTATGGTGGGCCTGTCCTTATCCCTCAAACCAGGCGCCAGAAGTCCTGCCTGCACGGCCGCCCCGTACGCCACCACCTCGTCCGGGTGCACGGTCTGCAACGGTCTCCTACCCTCGAGGAACTTTGTGAGGAGTTCTTGTACCCTTGGTATCCTCGTTGATCCTCCCGCCAAAACCACCTGCGAGATATCGTGCTTCCGGATGTTGGATTCCCGAAGAGCCTTCTCGACTACATCGATACACTTTCGAAAGAGGTCTTCATTCAAGGACTCGAACGTTGAACGGTCGATGGACATGCTGAACTCCACCCCACCTTTCTCCAACTCGATGTCCACTTGATCCTCGAAGGAAAGAGAGTGCTTCGCAGTAATGACTGCCTGTCTCAGCGCCGCACGCACACGGTGGTCGGTGGTTATGCTCTGCTTTGTTTGGCGCTCGTACTCCGCCGCGACATGCATCATCAGCCCGTTGTCGAAGTCCGCGCCCCCAAGACGCGATTCTCCTTCCACCGCAAGGACCTCGAAGCCGCACTCCTCCTTCGCTCCCTCCTTCACGGCTATGATCGATACGTCGAGCGTTTCCCCCCCCAGATCGAGCACCATTACCTTCTTTCCCGCGCATGCCTTGCCCATCAAGCGCTGATATCCGCACGCCGCCGCTGCTGCCGTGGGCTCGTTCATCAAGCGGAGCACGTGCAGCCCCGCCAGAGTACCGGCCTTCTTCGTCGCTTCCCGTTGGCTGTCGTTGAAGTAGGCGGGGACAGTGATCACTGCGTCTTCGATCGTGACGCCACCTGCGAAAGTCTCTGCGATCTTCTTCATCTCCTTCAGCAGCATGGCAGAAATCTCCTCCGGTTCCAACACCTCCTTCCCGGACACTCCTGGGACTTCAACTCGAGCCCCGCCGCTTGGCCCGGCCACCACTTCGAAAGGCCACGCATGCTTCAATTGCTTGAGCTTCGGATCCAGGAAGGATCGCCCCATCAGACGCTTTACCTCATATACGCATTTGTCAGGGTTCCTCGCCCCAAACTTGCTTGCCGCTTCACCCACGAACCATTTTTTCCCGTTGAAAGCGACTACCGATGGCGTTACACGTAAACCTATTCCGTTGGGAACGATTTCCACTTGTCTGTTGCGATAGATTGCTGCACAGCAGAAGGAGGTGCCGAGATCTATGCCAAGCGCCACACTGGACCCCATTCTCTCTCTCTCTCTCTCTCTCTCTCTCTCTCTCTCTCTCTCTCTCTCTCTCTCTCTCCCCCCCTGTGTGTGTGTGTGTGTGTGCGCGAGAGGGCGCAGATTATGCCGTGTTGCCAATGGTATGACCCCTACTGGCATGTGCGTAAAGCTTCGCCCGATCTGCCATCTCATCTAGTTGTTCATATCAGCCAAGGGTATCGAAGATCTGAGCAGTGAGCATCACCCAATATGTTCGTCAGGCTGACGAGATGAAGAAACCTAGTGGCCTAAATATCGATCGGTCGATCGATCTCGTGTCACACTCAGTTAGGATGTCCCGTATCACTAGTCTCCATAACCAATCATCCTCCCTGCTACCGTTGCCTTTGTGAACTTCATCCACGACCGCTTCCAGCTCGAGAGAAGCCGAGTCACACCCTGCTTTATATATCTGAAGAACGCGAAACAGAAATGCCGAGAAGTCGCGTCCTGTCATCCGATTCCTTTGCTGTACGAGAAACGCGGAGGTGGGCATGGCAGAAGAATTAGAGAGAGAGAGAGAGAGAGAGAGAGAGAGAGAGAGAGAGAGAGAGAGAGAGAGAGAGAGAGAGAGAGAAAAG